ATGATCAAAGATCAAAGACCTAACCATTAGACATCTGTGATGCCTCAGGTTAAATGACTACTTTGCATATTGCAACTTACGAGTTCTTACATGACATGTACGTTCAAACTCTCTTTTCATCGTAGTTCAGTGTACTCGATTACCATTTTGAGCACTTATGTGTTTGTCTCAGTGTCCAACATTAAATGACTTGAGACTAGTCATACTCACGCTTGAGTTAACATAACACATACTAACCTTAGCGGATTGTCAATGCCCAATTGGTAATCCTATGGTTAGGAACGTTTTAGGAATGAACATAAGAGAAAGTTCTCGTTAATCTAACTTACTTAGATCACTTCTCTCTTAGATTAAATACATTCCTTGGATTCTTTTATTGCTTAAACACATAATACAATAAATTGTGATTAACAATAAGCTTTGCCCTTCATTAAACATATAATAGTTTAACAAAAGCTATTACATCAAATGAGTGGCTTTGTGGGCATACTTCCAACATCTGGACCTGCAGTCTAGCCTAAAAATAAAAGACAATTCATTCTTTTGTTATTAATGTTATTGGTGCGGTATAATCGCCAATCATATAGTGTGTGTGTGTGTGTGTGTGTGTGTATCAATATGAATGGTACAATTTGATCACCTTCACCCTTTATATATTAATATATGTGAAGGCGTGACACTGTTGCCCTTCTTATAATAACAATTATTATCTTTAAGTTTTGATATTTATGTGAATGGTGCTGAATTAAAGCCCTTGCCACAATCATTACTCATTTAAAGCAATTTATTTATAGTGGCTGGCATTACCGCCCTCTTCTTTAATTTATTTATTGTACTACATTTTGTTATGATGAGTATAACAAGGGCCTGAAGTCCCTTGATCAAATTTGAACCTGAAGTTTTTTTTTTTATCTTCATCATATAAAATGATTGGAACTGAAGTTTCATCATATAAAAAGATCGAACCTAGATTTCCTTGATCATCATCATATAAAAGATTGGGCCCAAAGTTCCTTGATCTTGATCAAAATCAAAATCTGAAGTTTGTGAATCAACTGAGAGAGCAGCAGTTCCTCAACTAAAAATGACAGCCATATGCGCCTCAGTCCACAGACTATTATATGAGGGTCAGAAATTCCTTGATTCATGTAAATGAGGACCATAAGTTCCTTAGTCCATGTACAGGTTAAGTATGGGTATGATTTTCAAAAATATGAACCTAAAGGTTCCAATGATGTCGATATTAAGAATAAATTTTGAGTACATATGTATAATGCTTTGATCTTAAGTTCAAAATATGAATAATGTTAAGAACTTAAAGTTTTAACATTTTTGTAGGCATGTGTTGTGCTATGAATTAATTATCGCAAGTTTTTTCATACCTAAATTTCTTCAATTTGGAACAAGAAAATGGTGGATTTAGTAAAACTCGATTTGATTATCATCGACATATTAATGGAACCAGAAGTTTCATGCATGTATAAAACCAGAATAGAGGGAACTTTTCTATGTATATACACGTGCATATACATAAGTTACAACTACAAAAAAACAAACAAAATAGAGGGGAGCCTTCACAAAGGTTGCCTATGTGAAGCCTCAGTACTTGGCAGAACCCCAGAAGGGAGAGGCACTGAAAATTGTTCATATAAAGCCTCAATATTTGGTGGAAATTCAGAAGGAGGAGGCACCAGAGGTTGATCAATTAAAGCCTAAACACTTGGTACAACACCAGGCGGTGGAGACAATGGATGCCTTCATAACAGAGCCACAAAACTCTGATGGTCGCTTTGAATACGACTTTTGGATTCTTGTAGCTGGTCGAGCTTTCTTTTCATGCTCGTCGAGTAATTATTTGCAAGCATGTGCAATTCTATATTCTCGTGCTTAAGCCCTTTAATCTCTTGTCTAAGGCTTGCCACCTCAACCATTAATGATTCAACTTGGCGAGTTTGAGCAAGTAGATGTTGGCCCATATTGGATACAGAGCTTGCACACTGAATACTGAAAGCCAAAGAGTCTTTGAACAACCAATATATCGGATTGTTTTGAAAGTTTTCTTATATTCTTGGGAGTGAAAAGATTTATAGCTACTACTGTGGCAATTATATCATTCTTTATCACAAAGTCACCAACCGTAAGAGGATCATTAGAGGATAAGAATGATGGGCACCATATATTGTCTCGAAGAGGCACGTCTGCATCTTCCACAACGTTTAAATTGAAACAATGGTCAGATGGACAAGCCATTTTCAGAAATGATGAAAGAAAAGAAAGCAACATAAATTAAAATCTCAGAGATACAACAGAAGTAATTTTCATAGGCAGACAACTTTCCGAGCATGCTTTTTCGATACAATTGATGCCTCTATAAAAGAAGAGGCAATAGGGACACTTGTTAAAAAAAATCAAAGAGACACCACTCTCTGAATTTCAAAAGATGGACTTTCCTGAATTAATTTCATTGGCATTTTTAGACGCAATTTCAGTTTTCTAGATATCAAGGACAACTTTGTCAAAATATCTTTGGGAAATTTGAAAAGCGTGAATTCTACTGTTCCAATTACACCACTGTTGCTGACAAGTGTGAAGGAGATGTTCCCAACAGCACCACTACCTACTATTGGAAAATCCTTATATATGTTGACCTTTGTCCTCTATGGCAAAGCAGATCTCCAAAAATGTCTAACTTTTATTTCTTGATGAGAATGCATCTTCAACCAAGCCTCTTAAAATACTCAGCTTTCCTCCTCTCTAAGAAAACCTCTTCAACCAAGTTGCTCAAAATACCCAACTAATTTACTTAGAAAGAAAATATTTTTGATCAAGAAGCTTTACATCAGCATCAAATCCTTGTGTTGTTTTTCTTCAAGAGCAAAAGTATCTCATATCATCAGGGTCGAGAGCAAGATTATCTCAAATCATGCTTTACCTAAAATAAAACTTCTGGTCTAGAATTAATTGCCTAGAACCTAGGCCTAATTGCTTACTTTGCATTGTTCTCGAGTAGTCATCTTCAATTATTGTTGGAGCCGAGTTTCAAGTCTCCAACATCCCTAACAGTTGGTATGTTATTTGCTCTTTGTACTGAAGCTGCCAAGTGTGGATGAGTTACCAAGAAGTGATGCTTTGAAGGACCATTCAAAGGCAAAGGTTGCACACTACTTTTGCTATGTGCAGGAGGCTGAAGCTGAAAGATCAATGATGATCCTATAGAAGTTCAAAGGGAGAAGATGAGTGGCTGACTAAGTGAATGGAAGACCAAAGTTCAATGATGGGAATCTTACTCATAGCCCCAGCAAACTCTACCGGTTTATATTATTCCGATGATGTAAAGGTAATACATTCTTCACGATTGCTAATAAACTATCAAATGCATTAACAAGTTACAAGGATGTCGTATGGATTGAAGTCTCAAAAAGATTGTCCATGGACTTGACACTACTAAACTACTGCATGCTTAAAGCATGACAATCGCCGAATGGATTCAAGTTCTTCCATGGACATGATAATTTTAATATATCTTATGCCTGAGGCATGATGGAGGTATAGATTCCAATGATTCAACTCCCAGAAGTGGAGATTAAAAATCCAATCTCTTTAACGCTCTAGAGGAGGTTATGATCCAAATTCTCCAAACAATTCATCTAATAAGAGATGATTGTCCTAGAAGAGACAATGTAAAGCCCCTGATGAGGCAAGGATATCCAAAGTAATGAAATGCTTATAAATATGCATGCACATGCACATGCACATGAGAATTATGGGTTCACAAATTGATGATTAACAATGTTAATTTTGGTTTTACAGTAGCTACTAAATTTATCAATGAGCCGTGTTGATATTGAGTCACGTTCTTTTGTTCGTTGACTAAAATGAAAAATTATTGGCCAAAATAGAGAAAGGCAATTCCATTACAATTTATTAAGAACGTAAACAAATGGACCTATAGTACAAATCGCCAAATGATATTGAACCCAAAAGGTTACATATGGGCATTTGTAATATAGTGAACTACACTCATATGATATGACACAAGGTTCCTAGTTGAAACCTGAAATTATGATATATTCCTGTAAACATGATTTCCCATTGTGAAACTTGTTCATTTAAATGGAGAATTATATATTACATGAAACTTTATGAAATGCCTGAAGCATATCTCCATAAGTAAATCCCTCAAGTATAAATGGAAGCAAGTTTCTTTGTATAAATTTCAAAAGAGAATGTGTCATGGAGTGTAGAAAATCCCTGAAGGACTCAAATTGCTTGAAGAAAGTCCTGGAAGCGTAAAGCATAAATTATGTACTCAATACCAATAAATGAAATAAATTGCGTTAGTGACTACTATCATTATGATATTGTTGCAATGTACTAAATCTCTTGCAAGAGTTGATATTAGATTGGGACTCCTGAAGAGTTTAGAAAAATTATAAAGTGTTCAAATGAATATTATCTCGAGTTGCAGATTGAACAATATGGCAACACGAATGTCACACCCTGGACACGGGGTCAGCAGAGAAATAAACCCGGCGCCCGGTGCGCGAATAAAAGTAAAAATAAAACAGGAAACAAACTTCTCTTAAAAAATAACTCCAAAATCTTTACAAGGTATTCATAAATAAATAAAATCCTTGAAATCCTTTGTCTAACACAACCTCAACTCGTTTACCCTTCGTTAATCTTGTACCAAACTTGCAAGGACTAAAATATATAGGGTGAGCGAAATCATAGCTCAGTAGGGACATAAGTCTTATCAAGGATAATTGTCATGGCAACTGTGCAGCAACACACACTAGATTGTCCTGATGGACAGTCTTCTTCAATACACAGCATCTCGGGTTCAAACATTTTTTTATCCTCCCATTCACTTGGTGTAGCTTAAAATAATGATCTCGTTTGTAATAATAATAATTAAAAAAAGTATGCATGTTAGATTTTTGGTCCCTGGAGCAGATTTCTGAAGAAGATAATGCGCAGTTCATTCAAACTAAAGGAACTACGGTGAAGGTACGACACTTTCGTTATTAATATACCACTGAGAAAATAGAGGGTTCATTCAAGCATCAACAAATGACGATTCATCAACTGAAGTGTCATGCTACATCAAAATTTGGGGCTCCATTTTCTAATTTCTGCTCTAAAATCAACCTCCTATGTATACCGATTTTTCACCAACAGATCTCCCTCAAATTTGAAATGACGAAAGATTATTTCCATGTGAAAGAATTCAAGGGAAAGATCACAGAGTGCCCCGGACATAAGTGAAACAACTGCATCTGACTGAACAAACATCTGAAACGATGTGGATTTTCATGGCCAACACCTTTTACCACAAGCCGATGAACTTCCACCAAATCCCTCCAACTCCAAGCCAAATAATGATGTTGACGACGGATATAAGGAATCCGTAACCCCACCACTTGGCAAGTGGAACGTAGTTAGCACCATAAAAAACAGGTGCCGACCCAATGCCGTAATGGGTAAGACCACCCATGAGGTTGGAGAGGAATGCAAGCACCATCGCTCCAAAGTATGGAGGAGTACCAAGAGCGGTAGAAACAGACAAGAAAGCTGTAAACATGGCACCGATATGAGCAGCTCCACTGGCGAAGAAGTAGTGAGAATAGAAATATAGAAGAACCAGAATGCCAAAAGATGCTTGCCATGAAAGACCCAATCCGCCAACAAACTGTAAAACGAGCAGAATAGTTGTTAATGATGACCAAAGGTAAAACCTACACTTTCAACATAAGAATTTCTAACATATACATGCATATATATGTACATATATTTAATGGGTTAGGATCTGGGGACACACTTTTGACCCACATTTTGACACACGTTTTTGTGGGGCTCATTCCATAACGTGTTTCAACAATCCGAACCTTCTATTTTTAGGTCTTCCCTCAAAGATATGTCTACCAAAAATCACCCAAATCTAAAACCATATTACCGTTGAATTAAACTTAGTATTTCTTTGTAGAACCGTATTTGTCCATTTTATTCACCACAAATAATTGTGTTATCTATTACCGTTGGATTAAACTTAGTATTTCTTTGTAGAACTGTATTCGTCCATTTTATTCACTACAAATGAATGTGTTAATAATTTTGGATTTGTCTTTTTTTTTTTTTTTTGCAAGGATGATCTAGGAATGATGTACTTAAATACAGACGGTTCAGATCGTTGAAATACATTATGAAATGAGCCCTATAAAATGGGTGTCAAAAGCGCATGTCCCCAGATCCTAACCCATATTTAACACTGGTTTTCTCACTATTATCAAAGTAAATTGCGTGCACAGGGCACATCATATCTAATTTGGTCTGAGTCTCACGTCAGAAAATTCATTAAGGTTGAGGTCTTGTAGCAGGAGACACAATATTAGTGCGCCAATGCATATGCTTTAATAGAAGTAGATAATCTAGCAAATTGTAAATACAGTAGTTTATGCCAGTAAACAAAAACATCCCGAAATCAGATGATGGATAACCGGCAGATTGACTTGTGAACTAAACAATTCTGAAAGGACCATAAATTAAGTTAGGATGAACCCTATTTTATGTTTCTGACCTAAAGTTTTTCACCACAGAAATCAACTACATTTATTACTTTTAATAGTGGTGATATCAGAAGCATGCACGAGTAAGTGACCAGAAAGCGGAAAGAAAGACAAACCTTAACTACGGTCTGGCTAAACCAAGAAATAAGACCGTATTTGTTGAGATACCCAGCCATTGCAATGAGTGCAGCAAACCAAGTAAGTGTATCCCAGGCCACTGATTCAGCTAAGCACTCCTTCCATGTAATAACACCAGTCACGAGGAGAACAGATAATCCAAGAATAGCAGCAGTAACAGCATCCACACTCAAAACTCCTCCAAAAATCCAAAGCCCAACCTGATGTTCTCAGAAAAAAAAGAGGGTAACTATGAGCATAGATATTTTAAATGACACAACAGATTTACATATGCATCCAAGACACTTGCATACACGTGTTAGTAAGGGGATATAATTTATGACAACCAAGTGAATATTGCTGCACTAGTATTTCATGCTAAACTGCTAGAATAATCAGCACATAACCCCTACGCACGCCGTTGCAAAGGTGGTCAAAGGGAACACCAGCAACGTTAGGTTACCTAAGCACTAATTGACTAAATCCCACCCCATGAAAAAAACTTAAAGTAGACGAGTCAAATTTGCAGGTGCTGAATACAGATCATGTCAAATGGGCATCTATATAAGAACCATTCTAGTGTATTCTAAATGGCAATTGACAGGATGGACCAATCAAATTGTCTAAGAAACATGCAAATTCAAAAACTAAAGGCACATACAAACTTAGAACATTCAGCTTCAGCTTGTCAACGGAGATCAATGACACTGAATGTAAGCATGCCGATGATAACCAATTAAATTCTTGAAACTATTCAATCCAGAAACTTGTTACAGCCTCTTTCGAGTGTCGCTATTCAATGTTGAAAATCATTGAAGTATGCTAAAGTAACTCAATGCGGTCGTCCTCAATGCATTTATACACCATACCCACTATTGTCAAATTTAGCTCATAAAGCAACTTCAAAACATACCCAAATTTGAAGCACACACAATCTACGAACAAACACAAGAAACTAACAAAAAAGAAGAAATGAGTACCGTAAGAAACAGTGTGCCGGCCATGATAATCTCTTTGTTAGACATCGGCCCCATCTTCTCCAGCCTTTCCCTGGCAAGCTTTGGCGCATCCGGGCTGCTCTTCACCTCCGGCGGGTATATAATGTACAACAACAACGGCACCACAATCAACGACACCAAACCGGGGACAATCGCCGCCTTGGCCCAATCCGTCCACCCAATCGTCTGCTTAATCGTGTTTAATGTCAAGTTGGCGCTCAAGGGGTTAGCAGCCATGGCCGTCAAGAACATTGCCGATGAAACCACCGAAGTCTGGAAGCACGTGAGCATCAACCACGACCCCAACTTACCCTCGGTCCCGTCGCCAACATTGCTGCCGCAGGCGACGCAGAGGGACTTCACCAACGGCAAGAAAATTCCACCAGCTCTGGCCGAGACAGAGGGGATCGCCGGTGCCAACAAGGCCTCGCTGAAGACCAGACTGTACCCTAACCCTAGAGAGGAGCTACCGAAGAGGGAAACGAACTGGTACGCAATTCGATTTCCGAGTCCAGTCTTGATGAAGCCTCGGGCGAAGAAGAAGGCGAGGGCGATGAGCCAGGGGATTGGATCTCCGAAGGCGGAGAAAGCGGCGGCGAAAGTCAGCGTTTTCGTGAGGACAGAGGCACCGAGGCCGAGCAAGGCGACGGCTCCGAGAGGCAGGGGCTGAGTAATGATACCGACGATGGTAGCGAGGAAAATGGAGAGGAGCTGCCACGCGTTTTTAGTGACTCCGGCAGGAGTGGGAACGAACCAGAGAATAAGTCCAGTCGCAATGGACGCGATTAGAGGCGTCATCGCCGCGCCCTGCCATGGTTCCTTGGCGGGAGTGATGGCGGACCCGCCGCTGGCTACAGTGGCCTTGACGGAGAAGCCGCGGCGGGAGGGAGTGAAGTCGCGGGTTAAATTGGAGAGCTTGGGGGAGGAAATGAGGGGGGAGAGGGTTTTGTTGAAACCGAGGGCGTCGCTTTTGAGGGAGTTTCGACGAGTTTGGGAGGCGGGAAACGGCTTTAGTACTAAAGATTTGGGGAAGGGAGTGCGGGATCTAAGGGAGGGGAAGGTGGGGGTGGTGGCGGCGGTGGTGAGGGCGAGGGACGCCATCGGGATGGCGGAGGATGGGATCTGCTGCGGTGGAGCTCAGAGAAGTAGCGGGAGCAGGAGCAGCAAGTGTTGGTAGTTAAAGAGAGAGATTGTCGAAATGGAGGGGCTTAAAGGGGGAGGGGTATTTATGTCAATGTTGGAGAGAAATGTGTGCTGTTGAATTGAGATCTGACGCCTGGATTGGTGATTGGAATGTACGCAGCGGCTTTGGAAATGTCGTCCGGACTGGCTGGCAGTTGGTAGTTTGAAAATCGAAATGTCCGTCCAAAGTCTTTTAACATCATCAATTTCTCAAATTTTACGAATTTAATAATATTTCTCTTTACTTATAGGTAAGAAATTTTATATTTGATTCTCGTTAAAGACGAATTTGAATTACATTATTGCTAGCCATTGTGAGGCTAAACATATTCTCTTCCCTAATGTAAATAATGTTATTCAAAAGAAAAAAAATCATCTATTCCTCTTGACTTTCGATTCTTGTGAGAAGAGGATCCATATGTTGTGTGACATAATCTAATAATATACTGTTATATTACATGACATAATCTAAGCAATTGAATAATAGAAGAGGATCCATATTACATGACATAATCTAAGCAATTGAATAATTGAAGAGGATCCATATATTACGTGACATAATCTAAGTAAATGAATAACTGAAAATAAAATTTATTTTTATTATTATGTGATGTTTTAATTTAATAATATACTGTTATTTGTAAACAGATACTTTTGTGGACATATTCTATGTGAATCTATAATGACAATAAACACAGGTTATCCGTATTATGCAAATCTTTATCTTCGACGTCAACCACAAGAGCATTGAGGGTTCTCGTTGACTTGTGCCGGTGGGGAAGTTCATGTGGCAGAAGCTGAGTGGATAACTTATAGCTTTGTATTGTTATGGAGAAGGAGAGGAGATGGACGAATGAAAAATGATTTGCTCCACGTGGTAGTTGGAATTGGTAGGGCGTATTTGTCTGGTCGTGGAATCAAAAGGAAGGCAAAGGACTTTCTGACTGTCTGGGAATAGGACTGTTGGTCCTATGCCTCTAGGCCACTAATATAAGGAATCTAAAAAGACATAAATGCCCCTAAGAGTGTATGAGTGGAAACTAACATGCACCACACAAGTGCACGTGGGCTGCATCTCCCCATTGTTTCTTCGTAACAAACTTGAACCAAAGGACTTAAGATATGTCATTAGACTCATTACTTACTAATGGTTCAGGATTCTAAGAAAAATTGTATATTTGTCAAAGTTTTATGTTATATTCTCAAAATTGGAGTATGTGTTATTTGTTACAATTTTCATATTACACATTGAGACTTTGAAATCATACTAGTTTATGCGTTTTAGCTATTTAACTATATGATCCTCTATTAAATTGGTTAGTGGGAAATGTGGTATCAGTCTTTCATCTGACCTAGATGCCTTGCAAAATTAAGAGGAAAATGCAAATCCTCTGGCTCTAAGATGACTATTTGTTATATAGGTGTTGGATGACTTTTAGGTTAAGGTGGACTTGGGCTTTGAGAACGTCCTCTTGTCTCATTTGGTGCTGATTCGTACCAAGTTCCTAAATATCTCGAAAGAGTTAGCTTGTCTTAGGAAATACCCCAATAACATCAACGATTCGAAGATAGCATGATTGATCAAGATAATTACTTGCTCAAGTAAAGCATGGTATGGAAGCTAGAAGATTATGAGTTTAACATGAGAGAGAAGAGATTTACATGGTTGCATGACATTCTTGGCCAAATAACCTGGGCTTTCCTAGGGTGATAGTAAGACTTCTAATGACTGGGATGCTTAATAGAAGGTTGAGGGAATTGCTAGGTTGCATGGATGGTGATCCTTGAGGCTTGAAGTATGCTTCTAGACTAAATGGAACTCTTTGAGCTTATTTCCTTACTTCTGGACTAAATGGAACTCTTTGAGCTTATTTCCTTGGTGGTTCTTTCCCCTGCGTTCTTTCCATCTCTCTCCATGTTACCTCTAATCTTTTGTCTGTGTTCTCTAATGGCTTCCCCTCCTTTTGTAAGTGAAGGTTTCTTCTCTAGGCTTCAAAGGAATTTCCCTTTGTGGCTTGGTCTACCATTCCTTTCTCCCTAGCCCTCATATTATTTCTGTTTTGGTGTAAGGTAGCTGCATTGTTGAGACCTGTAGTTTGTATCTGTGCAAGCTGGGAAGGGAAAGTCAGCACTAAATGCCTGACTTGTTGGGCTTAACCTATATTTAATGCAGAAATCTAGTTTAGTCCTAACTAAGAAGGTTGGTTTGCTAGGGAAAGGGATAAACTAAGCTAGTTATCTCTTAATGTTGCCTGCGTGAAATGCAAATGGTATGGGCTTGGATCTTTAGGCCCTCAAGCAACACAAAGTCTTCCATGACACCGATTCCATATAGGCCCAATAACCTTCTGTAACCATCCACACTACAATCCACTTGACAAGCCCCGAATATGTGACTTGGGCTTAGCATGAATAATGACTAGCATAAGGAAGCATGGTGTGAATATCTGGCTTAATCATCATGGCATGGCATGTTTGTAAATATATTCATTATCAATCCTATATCTTGGCATATGTTTGGGCTTGAATGTAGGTTTTGACAATTGGGCTTTGAGACTTAGTTGGATTGGTGTGTGACATTTTTGGGCCCTAACACTAGGCAGTGCCGATCATTAGGGTGCGCGCGAATTTGATTGATTTGGTTTCACTACTAAGCATAACTGCTTGGGTGACGAAGCAACAGTTGTCGCGCCAAGGAAAATATAGTCGTCGGAAACATTAGGCGGTGAAGAGGACGTCATGCAAATTCTATCACGCAAAGCTCGTGACGTCAAACATTGTACGACAGAGGAAAGTCCTTTGTCGCACAAAATGAATGTCATATGATGGAATTGGTGGTCATTGTGCAAAACAAAGATCGATGAATGGGTGTTCGCTGCACGAGATACTCCGAGCGAATGTTGATAATATTGTTTTATGTAATTTAAATTAATTTAATGAAATTAAAAACAGAAAATGTAAAGAAGAATATTAAATTAAAAAATTATTTAAAGTGTACATACAACGGAAAGAAATATTTTAAAATTTGAAAATAATTTTAAAAAAACTACAATATGTAGTTGTCCACGTCACAATTGCCTGATGGTGGTGTTGCTGCTGTGTTAGGGGGCTGGGAGGTTGTTGATGGAGTTAGTTCAACGTCAAAGAACCGAATGCCAGAAAATTGAAGGGCGGGATGGATTTGGTTCAACAAACTGCTTTAGGCCGCAAACTAAGACTGCTGGGCAACAATTTGCTTTTTTAGGTCTTCCACTTCAGATGTCAGCGATTCGACCTCTTCTATTCTCTGCCTGGATGAAAAGGCAAATGGGTCTCAAATACGGGCTTTCCCAAGCCCCCGATGAACATTCCTTTGCCTATGACCGAGGGTCTAATCGAGTGTGTCCGTCATGATCTGAAAACCCGCATCCTCAGGGGGAAACACCTCCTCGATTGGGGTCTTTGGGGAAAGCTGGGAAGCCACCTCCTCCAGAATGGTCTGGCCCTTCTCCACCATGGTGGACTAGAAAAATGAAAACAAACAAATTAATTTTAATATACATGTAATTAATATTACTACTAATTGAATATTAAAAGATTGAAATAACTTACATGAAGCTGCTCTGCCAGCTCATTCCTGGACCGAACGTATACCTCCTTCAATCTTACGAAACCTTGACCCCCTTGAATAAAAAAAAAATATATATTAACACATACATTACCAATTGTGTAATAGAGAGTAAAAAGAATCAAAACTTAAAATAATTATACGGCTACCTTATGTCGTTCCTCCAACCTATAAGACAAGCGTCGTAAGCCGAAGCGGTGAAGAAGTTTCTTCTTCGTTCGATTGATCGAGTTTGTCTTCTCTTTTTTCTGTTGAATAAAAAAACGTGTTAGTTTAGATAATTATAACAAATTAATGAAAAAATTAAAATATTATTTAAAAATAAAAAAAATTTGATTAAACATTATTAAAATATATATTATACTTACGAGATATTTCTCGTCTTGAAAATGGTCGCAGAGCTACTCCCATTCATCTCGGCGGTCCACCAACTCTTTAGGGCACCCAACTGCTAGAGCGACCTTCGGATTGTCATATTTCTCATAATGCTTGTGGAGGTTGCTCTTCAACTGAGTGAACCTGCCAGTGCAAATCTCATTGATGTACTGGTTTTGAGTGACATCAAGGTTCGTGAGCTCATAGTGATGCTACAAAACTCAACAAATAAATGGTAGTTAAAATTTATAATATTTGTATACTTTAATAAAAATTTAGTATTTAAGGTTGAAAATAGTTATCGATAATTCATGAAGAATGTCGTGCTTGACTTGATGTGGGACAACTTTTCATGACTCCCATAGGAGCAGGCAATGATTCCTGATAACCGAGTCGCTGGCCAACGCATTGTGCTGCTTCTTTGTTGTAGCCGCATGATGTTGAGGATCCCACGTAATTGTGATCTTCTTGGTTGTGGTGTGAGTGGTCTATGACGTCTTCAGAAGTCTGCATGGGCCTCTAGTTCTTTTTTTTTTTTTTTTTTTTTTTTTGTTGAACTACAAAATAAACAATGTAAACATCAGACAAATTCTATTTTCTATCGAAAATTCGGCAGAACCTCCCCTAAAATATAACATTTCCGAAAACCTGCAAGCAATCTAACAACTAAAACAACACATCCACCCAACAATTCAAACACTTTATACCAATTAGGGACTTTAAAACAATTATAATCTAAATTCCAAATTGTTAAATTGAAAATACTATGAGAAAGATGCATTACCTATATGGGACCCTTCTCCATGGACAAAGGAAGCCTTACCAGACTGCTTAGCCTCTTTAGAACTTTGGGGTTGTCGATGAGTTTGTTGGACGCTTAGTAAAGGATGTGTCATCGAAGAAGTTAATGACGCAGAAGCCGGAGACACCATTGGACCGAAAGGCGTGACGAAAGGAACACATGTCGTGCCCAAATTAGGTGGGGAGGTGGCAGCAGCACTACCTACTAGAGTAGGTGTCTGACTAACCCTACTAGTTGCCTGGCGGTTTGAAATTAAGTTCGACATCTACAAAAACAGTAAATAAAAGTTACATTCCACTACTTTTAGTCAATTTATTAGAGTATAATACATGGCACATAATATACATAATCCACCAACACCAACATGTTTTTGTTTTGCATATAAAAGCTATCAAATATTTATAAAAAAACATAAGCAATGAATCCTAATTAGCCGATTCACCAATAGATCAGTAATAGACAAAGAATGGTCAAATATATAACATTGTCCTTGATATATATATATATATATATAAAATATATATATATAATATATATATATATATATATATATATATATATATGGGTACACACACACAGAGATAAAATTAAGTTTATTTATTTTAGGGAAAAAGATCCAATACCAAACTAAAACACCAAATCTAGTGAACTTATTTGAATATACAGCTAGGGCAAAGTATTCGAGACAATATCATATATGGTTGGTGTAGGGAAACAAATAGCAAACTAGCAAAAATATGGGTATTAGCTATAGGCAACATGGTTTCATCGCATACTCCAGAGTATTGGGGCATGGTTTATAGCAATATATTGGTGGGGAATTGATAGGAGCATATTCATGCGACTTAAATGACTTGTTCTCGTGCATTTACGTTATGTTTCTTTAGTTATTTTAGTCCTTTAAGCTATTTTCGTGTGTTTGTAGGTCCAAAGGGCTAAAGGAGCAAAAAGATGCATTTTGGAGACTTTTGGAGCACTTTTGGGCTAAGGATGGATAGCTTATGCTTGGCGCCAAAGTGTTGGACGAAATTGAAGACCTAATTGAAGACCAAAGTGTTGGAACCTTGTTTCCTTTAGTTTTAGGACATTTAAACCTTTCCAATTTCCTTAGCCGTGCATAACATTCCAACATTCCACTCCTTCATTTCAGCCACACTCCCACATATCATTACTTATCATCACCACTCATTACTTATCATCACCACTTATCACTTATCATATCATACACTTATCATATCATTCACTTATCATATCATTCACTTATCATATCATACACTTAATTAATTAACCCACATGCACCCTTTATTCTTTCATCATTCCAGCCACTCCACATCCCTCACCAAGAAATCATTCAACACATGCATCCATAATCATTTCTCCAACCTTGTGCCGTGACTTTCCCATCCAATTTCAGCCACATGTATTCATCATTGCAGCCACCATTCATCCTAGTTGTCAATCACATACTTTCCCATTGTATAATTCATCCACATGCATCTTTAAGCAACAAACAAATCAGCCACACATTCATTCACTTTCCTTTGCCGTGACTTCCCCTTCTTTCCAACATAATTCACATGCATTTCAGATTGCATTCCCATTCTTTAATTCAACCAACACAACCATGCACTCCACATGCATTTCCACCCTTACAAGACCCTAATCATTCATCCACACAATCTGCCATCATTCACACAAACACCATAATTGCCATGCATCCCATTCCATCTCCCATTTCAGATTGCATTTCATTCATTCCAACCAAGCCACATGCACTCCCTTTAAATATATTCAACCTAGCTGTCATTCCACTTCAAAGCACATGCATTCCCACCTTTTAATCACATGCATAAATCAGCCACATGCATCTCCCATCACCATTTCAGATTTCCACCAAGCTCCTAGCTGTCATGTTCCCTCTTTTTCACCTATAAATAAGCATCCATTACACCTCAATTCTCATTCATTCTCATTCACACTCATTCACTCCTCCATTTCAGAAATTCATCCATTGTACATACCACAAACACTCCCCCCTTTGTGTCGTTAGTCTCCCTTACAATCCAAACACCATCCTTCCATTTCCACCACTCCCCAAACCATTCACACTATCAAACTATCCTTAGACCTTGTGCCACAATAAAGAGGAAGAGAAGAGTGCCTAAACGTTCATACAATTCAAGTTTGAGTTGTTGGAATGTTTAGGTGTTTCTTTGATTTCAATGTTTAATTTCAATACTCTTTGTTTTGTACGAATGAGGAATGGAAGAGAAGATGGCCTAAACGTTTATACAATTCAAGTTTGAGTTGTTGGAATGTTTAGGTGTTTCTTTGATTCTCTTTGTTTTGTACGCATAAGGAACTAAACCCCCTTTAGCTAGGGGGTGATTCGAAATATATATTTATGCTTGCATTTTGATTTGATTACTTCTAATTGCGTTTCATAAGTTGTGGATTCAAATTGTTTAACTGTTTGATTGATAACTTATTTATGTATGTTTATTGAGAGTGCACGCTTAATTTTCATGCATGAATATGACGCTAGAATATAAGTGAGTTTCACCTAATAGTTACGAACTTATATTCACAAGTAGTGGAGGTTGCTTATAAACAATCGCGTTAAACGAATTCTTGGCATAAGTTTCATGCAATCCATAGTAACGAATGCCTCGTCAACACTTATAATTTTCATAGAGCGTAATGATTCTTGCTTGTATCTCTTCTATGCATTCATGTTGAGGACTTGTGGGGAATGTTTTGAATTGTGTATGCGCTAACCCATCCAATTCAATAACGTTAGGAAGATTTGAAGGTTAATTAGTGCATCACGGTTAACTTGGGGTGTTGAGAATTCATGGTTTATTGAAATGCAATTGGAAATCATTTTATTATGCAAGTGTAACATGTATGGAGATGAACCCCTTGGCTAGCATCCATCCATTCTAATCTATCACAAATCCATATTTACATTCTGTCTAGTTTATTAATTTGTTTCATTATTTCAATTTTCGTCAAATCTAATTCCCCCTTTACTTTAATGTCCAATTTAATTAGAAATACATTTAGTTTGTGTTTATAAGTGTTGTGATTCAATTTATTACTTAATTTCGTTCAAATTTGTGTTTGTGCTCAAATCTGCCCAGAAAGTGGTTTTTAGGCAGATTTGAGTGTGTTTGTGTTGTTTTGAGTCTTTTGGTTTGTCTTAGTGTTTTAAAGTTTAGTTTTGAATTCTTTGAGTCTAGTATAGTGTTTCATATTGTTATTTTACGTTTTTGAGTCAAATCCAAGGGATTAACAATCCCTCCTAATCCCCGGTCTAGAACGATCCCTACTTACATACTTACTACAATCGATAAAAAGAGGGTTTAATTTGTGTGCGTATAAATCTCGCATCAGGAATGGGAATGAGAAATAGCATATAATAGTAATAACAAGATCTACATTGCAGAATTACATATAGAAGAAAACTATTCATACTATTGCAGAGGTTGAAAACTGTGGTATAAAATCAAATGAAGCAAACTAAGGTATAAAACATAAGAAATTTCAATCCAAATCCAAATCCAATTATTGACTACCAAACACAACATTATGAAACTCAAATCACAAATTCACAATACAATAAACATGTAAAAGTTTTCCTTCACCACGTCCTGATTAACAAGAAAAAAGCATCCATGCGTAGAGTGTACAACATTATATTCCAAAGTTGTTGAATGCTAGTCCACTTTTCAGTATACCAAATATCCAATTCTGTAAAGCCCCAAATTACGTAACTTAAACATAACAAAACATATATTACTTGAATGATAGAGACAGAGAATAATAAAGTTAAGATTCTAAATCCAAATAGTGAAAAAAAGAAATATGCTTAAGACTATGAGTAGTAGCATGATTCCATACACTGCAGTATGACAAAAAAATCAAATATTTTGGTGCCTTAGCGGGCAAGATAAAGGTAAAGCTTAAAAGGATCACTACAGCATTGGCAAGTTGTGAAACATGATGAGCATGTCCAATAAAGAAGAAACCAAATTAAACCTATGATAAAAAAATACTGCATAAAAATGGGAAGTAAGGAATCATTTAATAATTATACTGTAGTAAAACTTTTTTTATTTTATTTTTTGTGTAACTACTCCAACCTAGATGAGAGGGAGGGGGAAGGGCTTAAGCCCGAGACGTAATAATGTTGTGTTTTCTTAATGAGTTTGATTTATGATAGTAGTATTCAAAGCAAAATTTACAAATTTCTTAATGTATAGTAACCAGTTTTATTAATGGAATTTGTTGGGACTTCCTCTCCTTCACATTAGGTAATCCCAATTCAAAACCCCTATTTGATTCCCAATTCGATACCCAGTTTTGTTTATAACCAAAAAAATGGAAAAAATAAAAAATAAAAAATAC